ATGAGTATTTTGACAGGGGCCTCCAATAGGAAATTACAAATAATGATATTCAACATTTGGAAAATGAGATTAAGGTGGTATCGTTATTAACAGACAGAGAAAGACAAGCAGAAAAAAAAAAAAGAAGAAAAGAAAGACAAGAAAATTTAAAGATCTTTTCTACCTAACGACAGGAAAATGCAAGCTAGATCTCATGGGTAGGTCATGAATCAGCTTAGTGGGTTGGGACCAGCATTCAAAACAAACGTCTATATCAATCTCCCCAAACTGAAATACACTAGACTAGAATAGAAAATGCCAGTACGTAGAGTAGATAGTAAAGTTAAAAATTATCACGACACTATGTCATGATCAGAACTTACATTTCTTAATGCAGGTTGTGTAAGAAAAACAGTATGGAAAATGCGAATTCTAGATAACATCAAAAGTTTGCAGATTTTGTCAAGAAGAGAAAACAGAAAAACTGAAATAAATATAAAAAGAACTGGTATAGTTTAGAAGCAGTTTATAAGCTTCTAGAACATACAGTACATTTTAGAAGGGAAGATTGGATTTAATGGGTAGAGAAAAAGGGAAAAACTGAGGAACAATTCAAAACTTTTATGTGACAGTATATTAAAACTATTGAGCAAAAAGAGGTTTTATGTAGAACTAAGACTAAGGAATAAAGAGAAACAGTGATTTTAGGAGGAGAAAGAGAGTAACAGTATTCAAGACAGATGAAACGAAGAATAACAATTTGGAAAAGAATGAAAATATGAAGAATGATGTAACAGAACAAATTAATACCAGAATATTTTACATATGAAAAAAAGAGCAATAAAAAAATTAGGGCCTATATTTTTTTTATTTTGCAATTTAAAATATTTTAATGTAAAACAACAGCCTAAAGCTGTGTGTGTAACTTTTACAACAGTACACTTTTACTATAAACTTTAAAAGTATAGAGGAGGGCCAGCTGAGTGGCGCATTGGTTAAGAGTTGGCTTGAGACGCCAGCTCTGAGCAGCAGGGCCCCGGTTCGGATCCCACATGCGGGCGAGTGACGCTGCGCCCTCTACAGCTAAGATGGTGAACAACAGCTTGACCTGGAGCTGGGCTGCCGTGAGTTGCCAGCGATGGCATAAGCTGCAGCCCCTACTGCAGTGGGCTGCCGTAAGCTACCGTGAGCAGCCGGCAGCAGGTGGGAGCTGCCAAAAGCCGCCATGAGCGGCGGGTCCAGTGGCTGGCGACCCATCTGCCTCACCCAGGAAGAGCGCAATGATAATACCAACATGGGCCAGTGAAGCAACGTCCTCCACAACTAGACTGAAGAACAAAAGAACAGCAACATGTCTGTTCCCCTTCCCCGATTCCCCAACACTGTTCCCCTCCCCCAATTCCCCAATAAAATCTTTTCTAAAAAGGTATAGAGAAAAAAGTTATTCATGAACCCAATATTCAGAGGTAACTATGGTTAACATTTTCATATATTTCCCTCAGACTATTTTTGTATACTTCCATTTTTATCAGGAAACTATTTCTTTTTCCCCCATTTATTGACTGATCTATGTTTAGATCCCTGGTAGTTTTTAAAACTAGTTTTTACATTCATTAATATTTGGAAGATTTTGATCGTTGTTATTATAAAAATGTTTTTTAATTTTAATGCAACTATGAAGCAAAAGTGACTTCTTTTAGACACAGGGGTATTTCTTTTTATAAACTATACACTTGCTATCTAACTCTAATACTGGACTGTCATTGCAAAGAAGCAGTTTTATGGACTGCAGCACAGTAAATTTAAATGGATTCATTGGAGGTGAACCAAGCATTACTTTAATCCCTTACTTAGCAACCTATCTAAATTGGGAGGAAAAGTTTTAGAGCAAATATGCATATGATGCATATCCCATAATGGTAGGGTTGCCAAGAGATACTTCAAAATAATGAGTCCAATTTCTCTGGTGAAATAAACAATTTAAGGAAGATGAAGTTGTATTTTAGTAGATGAAATTTCAGACTTTTCTTTGAGGGATGCTCTAGTGTGAGGCTGGGACATCTAATGAATCCTAGTAAAGGATTCAGCCTCTCGCCTGCTGTCTGGGACCCGATAAAGGTCTGCCCCACTTCCCACAGCAAGGACTGCACCTTGGAGGCAATCTTGGGTGTACATACACATGTTTGGCAAAAGGTATTCAATTGCCTCATTCCTGAAGAATATTTTAATCTCATTTGAAGAAGAAGCCTTCCTTGAAGGTAATCTACTGACAAAGATGACCAATGAAGAAAATATTCAATCTAAATCTATATGGCAACATATAATGTCTCTCTAGCCTCTCTCTGACATGCCACCGCCCCAAATAAATCATGATCCAGAATGAAAATATTCTAATCCTACCAAGACCACCTGTAATGAAAATGTGAGAATATAGAGTAAAATGATTTAAATTGCTTAATGGAAATCTTTTTCATTTTTGTTCTTTAATTATAAATCAAGAAAAGTATTTGTATAAAGTGTCAAAAATTCTAATTATACTCTCAGAGATAACCAAATTCCTATTACATTCTTAAAACAAGAACAGATTGCTATGGGAAAAGCAAACTAAAAATTTCTAGAAATTATAAATATGACTGTGGAAAGTGAAATTGTAATGAACAAATAAAGAATGGTAAAAGTGAAAAATAAATGAGTAACTGGAAATGTAAAGCTGAGTAAATCTTGAACAATGCACAACAACAAAAAAATATGGAAAATACAAAACAAAACAAAACTGAGACCCAGAATGTCAGGTGGTCCAGTATTTGTCTAATAGTAATTCCAGAAGGAAGAAATAGAAGAGAGCAAATAACTTTTTAAATAATATAATAAAATTCCTCTGAATTGAAAAAACTTCTTTATTATCAAGCTGAAAACCTGTTCAGTACAAAGCAAAAGGTATGAAAATATCCATGCCTACATATATTCAGGTGAAATTTCATAATTCCAATGAATGAAAAAGTAGAAGACTTAAAAGCTTGTAAAGAAAAGAAAACAAGAGGATAAAACAAAAAGATGACAAGCAGTGGAATGAAACTGGCTGTCAATGGAATTCTCATGAACACATCTGGATGCTAGAGGACAATGGAGTAGTTAGTGGTTTCAAAGTTGTGGGGAAAATGATTTTGATCTTGAAATGTTTACCCAGCCAAACTACTACTCAAGTTTGAAGGGCAAGATAGAAACGTTTTTGAACGTTCAAGGATTCATAATGTTTACTATCCATTCATGTACTAACACACATTACTTAAAGAGGAACTTCATCAAAGAAAATGATTTATAAGAAACAAAATGAGATTTTTTTTTTAATGTTGCTTCTTAGTAGAATCTACAAAAAAGAAAGAAAAAAAAGATGATAAAAAACAACAGGGGTCAGACAAGTAGCTTGTTGGTTAAGAGTTGGCTTGGGAGTGCGAGCTCTGAGCAGCAGAGCTGCCTGTTCGGATCCCACATGAGCCAGTGACTCTGTACCGTCTACAGCTAAGATGGTGAACAACAGCTCGACCTGGAGCTGGGCTGGCGTGAATTGCTGGCAACAGCATAGGCTGCAGTGGGGATGCAGCGGGCTGCGGTAAGCTACCGTGAGTGGCCGGCAGCCAGCGTGAGCCACTGTCCAAGGGCTGGAGACTGATCTGCCTCAGCTGGGAAGAGTGCAATGATCACAACACCAACAAGGGCCAGTGAAACGACATCCTCCACAACTAGACTGAAGAACAAGATGACAGCAACTTGTCTGTTCCACTTCCCCGATTCCCCAATACTGTTCCCTCCCCCCAATTCCCCAATTAAAAAAAAAAATCAAAGAGAATGCAGTGGATGGTGACTTAAAACATTCTTCCTCAAGCGTAAGGGGCTTATACTAACATAGGACTTTTACTTCCTTCTTTAGAAGTCCAAGCACAATACTGTATTGTGCAGTGGATGTTTACATAATCATAATTTGGCAAAATTCTGATGGTTTTATTTTACTTAAATTTTTAGATAGACCTGTAGACAAAACATAAATTACTTAATAATAGATACAACTGAGAGTGAGAGAAAAGAAATAAGAATAGATATAGTATTTAAAAGTTACAATAGTATCCTCTAGGAGAGAAAATTAGAAACAAAAACAAAAACCTCAGAACAATGTTAACAGAAGTTATTTTTGAAGAATGGTGGTAGGGACATGTAGTCTTTTTCCTTTTTCATTTCTTTTTTATGTGCTTCTATTTAATTTGGTTTTGTTTAGTAGGTATAGGCATAATTTTCATTCTTTTTAATTGTTTAAAATGAGAAACACAGGGCACTATCATTAGTAAGGGTAATTATGATATATCATACAATGGAATACGGACCAAATGGTGAGAAAGAGACACATCTATAGGTATTAACATGAAAACTATCTATAAATTTAAAAAAAAAAAAAAGCTTCAGAAACGATGGTGGATAATGAGATGACCCTATTTATGCAAAACAAAACATTATATGAGTTAGAAAGTGGGTGTGTGGGGTGGTATATAAATGTTTGTTAAGACATTTTTAGGATTGTAGCAACAATTTACTGAAATGGTGGGAGCCTTTGAAGATATTTCAGTATGTGAACTGCATTTTCAATAAGCAGAATTTATAGGCTGTACCTAGGTTTCTTTTTGGTTTTGCTTAAATTTCTATTAGCCTTCGAATGTGTAAGTCTGCGCTAACATTTTTGGTATCATTCTAAAGAGAATAAGATGGAATTTTAATAATGTTTAAAATATTCACATGTTGATTATCCCAGCTGTTACCCAATCTGGCAAACTTCACACACAACAGTTAGGCTCTCTACACAGTATTTTATACTTGGAAAAAACTGCAACTGAACCAAAAAAGAGGGCTTTCAATATTAGAAAAATTTTAAATGTATAACATCATAAAATTCAAGTAAGTTTGATTTCTGGTATTAGACAACACTAAGAAAAACTATTAACATTATTAACATTAATAATTTAGCTTTTCCTTACCAGGCTATTTTCCTTCCAAGCTTCTGGGAACTTGGGTCTCTGTTTTTCCCTAGACACCAGAACCTGCATATCTTCAAAAGTGGGATGGTTTCCAACTTCTGTCTGGAAAGCCATCTGGTATTCTGGTACAGATTCACCTGTGAATTTTGTAAAAAGAAAGATGGAGTAAAATTCCCAATTATCATAAAATCAGTCTTTTTTTTTTTTAACCCTTTCAGGCATATGTAGAAATCCTAAAGAGACCCTGTTGTGGTTTTAATGCATTATTGATAAATGCTTTACGTAGAACAGTCTTTGATAAATCAAATGTTTGTTAAGTTAAACAGTAGTTTCAACGATGGACAGCTATTTTTAAATGGTTTCTAGTATTACTAAATTGGGGGGAGAGGGGAGATTATTATATACATAGGTGTACTTAACACTTGAAAACATGCCTGAATTCTTACCACACAGGGACCAAGGGTAGTGAATATGAGGAGATGTCCAGGATCTAGTACAACAGACATGTCTGTTGAACCAAAAATAACTGGGAGAGTTATACAATCATCATGTCTCATTATATCATTTGCTCTATTATAGCACAGCCAGATTGTATCAAATGTCACAAAAACTTTTATGATAATGGCCATTTGACAGAAAAATCAATATAGTGATTTAAAAAAAAATTCCTTTTAACAATCAGTATCTAGATCAAGGATTTTCAACTATTATTAACTATTCTACCACTGTTTAATAACCCTATTCATCACCAAAAAGCACCATTAGCTGCTTGTAATGCGAGGCTTATGATTTTACAAAATGTGATTAAATTAAACTTAATAAACATACTGAGACATACAGAAGACCTCTGGGACCCAACACTTGGAAAACCAATGGTCTGGTCAAAATCTTGCCAAAGAACTCAAAAGAAATAGAGACCTTCCTATCTCCTTGCTAATCCTCCTCCCCCATACAATTAAAATGAAAGGATAAAGTAGAAGGAAGCACCAGAATGGAGGATAAAGCTCTTAGATTCTAATCTTGGCTTCATCTCTACCTTGGAAAAGTCATTTTAAACTATTTTGTGTTTCAGTTTTCCCATCAGCAAAATGGCAACATCCGCCCTTCCTCATCTCACTCACATGGAGAGAATACAAAAGTTGTAATAACTCAGATAGAAAGTATATTATAAAACATGTAATTTAAGTTTTATGTTTCAATTTGAATATTCAGAAGAACCTATAAACACTTGTCCTCCACCAATATAAAAAAAGATTAATTCTATAATCTATACAACATAGCCCAAATTTTTTGGAATATTGCACTATCTACAAATACAAGTATATTTTCACATACTCTAAACATTTAAGTACTTATTTTTTATCAGAAACCATCAACATTGAACTTAAAAAAACAAAACTAAAGGATTTAATTCAGCTAGTTAGTATATCACTTTCTTTCATGAAATAGCATATGATAAAACCTCAATCCATACCATCTGTGAACTGTAAGATGTTTCTATTATCTGTCTCCCTGAGACATATACACAACACACATAATCCTTACAAGTGTTATTTATTAGTTATTTTTTCTTCAAACACTGGTTCAGTAAAATAAGTAATCATAATTTTACTTAATTGTTTTAATCAAGTCTAAATTATAATGAGAAAACTTGCTAAATGAAACTGATGTGCAATCTTGTTTTGTGAATTGAATAACATTAAGAATTATCAAATTTCTACTAAATCTTCATGGGTCTAAATCTAATTGTTCCATAGAAACATGTTTAGAGCTAACTTCTTATTAGGCGCTGGAAACACAAAGATGAATGATAATGACATTATCATGGAAGTACTAGTCTTATTGGGTTTCCTTAAAACTTTATAATCGCTGAATTGCTCAAAGGACATTTTATAATCCCATTTTCTTACAAACTGTCTAAAAATAGATTAAACATCTAAGAATATCATATGCCATTCCCTGCTTCTCACCTCACTTGCTACTTGTTAATTATGCCTCTAAGCAGTTAGGAATTTTTAGTCTCTTTCTTAAATTACACTTGTTCTCTTTCTTCCTTTTTCTTTCTCTTGCCTTTGTTTTCTTCCTTTCTTCCTTCCCCCTCCTTTGTATAAACTTTGCAGCATTTTACTCTTCCTTTGTAATAGATACCTAATTTATTCATTTTCCTAATATTTTACAGAGTCAGCCTTCATTATTCCATAATGTTCCCAGCATGTAGCATTTGGAGGTATATCATAGAAGTTTTTAAATGTTTTATAAGAATTTTATTATTATTATTATTTGCTATTTTCTAGGCTTCTAATATGTTTGTGGCATCCTTTTTTTTTCAACATCCACCGGACTTCATTGTTAAAATTTTTGAGTGGCCTGTATCTTCTGCCTGTGCTTTCTTAATACGTTTCCCTCCTATACTCTGAAATATTTCTGTCTTCTGTATTCCACAGGAACTCTTCCAAGGATACCAATGACCTCCTCCTATTCAAATTCAAAGACCAAATCTCAATTCTTATTTCTTTTTGACTTTTGATTACATTAATTGCTATCAATCTTGGTTCTAACACTGACTTCCCAGATACTATAATTTCTCAGTTTTCTCGCTCTTTTTCTGACTATTTGTCTTTATAACTAAACTATTTGGGAGGAGGTCACCCAATATTCAGTCTTTATTCAACAATTTTTCTCTCCTCGTGTGTTCTTAGGGGATTACATCCTATCCTAAGTTCTCAATTACCATCTTGACGTGGACAATTCCCAAATAATCATTTTAATCTTAGTTGTTTTAATATCCTCTTTTAAATTAAAAAAAAACATTTCTTCTGTTGTCCTATCAATACCGAATCCAACAGTCTCCATAATTAACTCATCTTTCTTTCTTTTTTACTTTTTTAAAGATTTTATTGGGGAATTGGGGGAGAGAATCAGCTAAGTTGTTGTTCTTCAATCTTCGTTGTGGAAGGCGCCAGTCACCATCTGGCTTTCCATCGGCAGCTCATGATGGCCTCTAAACTCAAGGTGCTCTGTTCAATCTTAATTGCAGCTGGTCGTAGCCACCATCCCATGCGGGAGTCGAACCAGCAGCTTTGTTGTTAAGAGCGCACGCTCTATCCACTGAGCCATCTAGGCAGCAGCTCAGCTCAAGGTGCCCAATTCAGTCTTAGTTGCGGGTGAGCGTAGCCCACCATCGAACAGGCAATCTTGCTGTTACACCAAATGAGCCATCCTCCCACCTGTTGGCAGTTCAGCGACAGCTCAGCTCGGGTACAGCATCACTGTCCCATGTGGGAATCGAACTGGCTGCCCTGCTGCTCAGAGCTCATGCTCTTAAGCCAACTCTTAACCAACTGAGCCACTCAGCCGGCCCTTAACTCATCTTTCTAATGTAAACCAGTTTTTTTTCCTCAGTTCCTGGCTGCCATTCTCACTCTTTTTCAGATCTCTGAATATTTATCAATTCCTTTCACTTTCTTCCAATAGTTAACCAAAACCACAGATTCCTTCTCTACATTTTCTTTCACATGTGCATCTTCTTCCTCATTTCCATATCCAAGATTATAGGGTATACCTTAATGCAACTTTCTTCCTTTTTCTTTTTCTTTTTCATTATGGTTAAATATACATAACAAAATTTACCGTTTTAACCATTTTCAAGTGTATTAAGTTTATTCTATAGCACTAAGTATATTCACACTGTTGTGCGACCATCACCACCATCCATCTCCAGAACTTTTTCACCTTCCCAAATTGAAACTCTGTATCTATTAAATAATAATGCCCTATTTTTTTCTCTTTAAAACTTCTAGTTCTTTAAATTACAGTTCATTCAAGATTTAATTGCCTCTCCCTTTTCAAATAACTAATATTGTTCTTTATTATCAGATCAAAAACAACAGTTATTCTTTAAATGCAGTAGTTGGTAAAAAAATGTTGCTCATGTCAGTGTACTAACGCAGATACTATAAGAATCCTTTTCGTCAGACATACTTCTAAAAAACAACAATTCTGGATTAGGATATTTTTTTAAATCTGTGGCCAAAGTTTCAATAATAGAAATATAAAGTTCCAAAATTCCAACAACACTGTGATACTTCTACAAGTGCTGCTATTTCCAGAAAAACAACTCAAATGAGTACTCTGTACTTCCAATTAACTGGAAAATATACTTCTAAATAAGAACTGATAGACTTGTAATAAATCTGAATAATTAATTTATTTCATTATATTTTAGAATTATAAATTATTGTTAAATGCTTACTGTTTTTAAATAAAAAAAATGTAATCCCACTACTAATCTCTGTTTTTATTAAATAGTTCCATTTCATAAATTTGTCCAGTGCTGGTTCAATCAATTGTTTTCCTTTTTCTACACATGGGATCATGTTATTCCTATAAAATAGAGACCATCTGTATCAAATTAATTTGTATGGACACCATCTAGAAGAAATGCAATGCACATATTAATAGTTAAAGTTTCTATATGACAATAATAACAGTGATGTAAAAAACCCTAACAAAGGAGAAAAATTATAAATTCATTTGGTTATTTCAAGTAGGCCTCAAACAAGCATTCACATTAAAGAGTGTTCTTTCATTGCAAGGAAGGAAGGCATTTAGTTAGGCCAGAGGGAAAACAAAGAAAGGAAGAGAGAGAATGGAAAAAAGAAAGGAAGGAAGAAAAAAGTATTCCAATGGATAATTCATTGTTTCTAATTCCTTATTGGGTCAATTCAGGAAACAATGTAAGTGCAGCTTATCAAATGTTCAGAGGATGCATATGGAAAATGATGACTGCTAAACCAATCAGAGACCAAACTAAACACGATTAGATAAGCTATTATGAGCTATTAATTAAATTGCACTCAGATGCAAACATGGAATCCTTTAAAAAAGTTTTTCCTTCTGGCTAACAATGTTTCTGAACACTAGATGGCAATGGACTAAAGGTTTAAATGAAAGTAAAAACATAATAGTCCACTTATTTAATATAGGTAGAAAAAGAAGATATAACGATTTCACTTCAAAACTTTTATCAGTTTTCGATAGATGTCTTACCTGGGAAGAGGTCTGTACACCTCATAAATATCTCCCAATAGATTAGTCCAAGTGCATACATGTCTACTTGTTTCAAAGCTGATTCACAGTCCCTCAGGTTCACAGCTCCCTCTAGAACTTCTGGTGCCATATATCTGATTGTGCCAACCTGATAAATTAAGAGTGATATTTTTTAGAAACAGAATGTAGCATATTCTGAAGGGCATACATGAGACAGAAGTTATACATAAATTTCATGTCAACAGTATGCCAAAATGATTAGTTATTTGATGCTAAGAATGTCCCTGAAACTTTCTATACCTATTTTATCTATAAAATGCCTTCCTTAAATATTTAAACTGTGGCAAGTCCATCTTACTGAATAGAATCAATTAAAAAGAATAAGCTAGATTTTCCTATGTATATCAACACAAAAAAAACTATTAAGACACAGTGGGAAGACTGTAAAACAATTTGTATAACATTTAACATTTTAAAAATTAACAAAAAATATATAGAGACCTGTATATGTGAATGTAGAGAAAAAGGTCAGGAAAGATATGTTCCACGTTGTAATAGCGATTATCAGAAGGTGGTTGTCCTATCTCAAACTTGATAATGTTACTCTTTCTTCAAAAATCAGTTCCTACAAACTTCCTCCTAATGCTTGTCAAAAATGACTTGAATGGCAGAAGCTTCCATAATGAATTGATGAACTTTATGCAATGTCTTGGTATTTCTTAATTTTGTAATTCCTAATATACCATAATTGGTAGCATATAAGGATAATTATCCTGAGTAGTAGCGGATTCTTTAATGCAATTCATTATGCTTTCAAAGTATGTCAGGGTGATACCTTTTGTATACACTCACCTCACTTATGGCTGCATTATCTTCTTCCCCTGGGCGTACCAGTCTATTTCCAGTCAACCTCATGGACAACCCAAAGTCACTAATAACACAGGTTCCATCATTTTTCACCAAGACATTTCTGCTGTTTAAATCTCGATGGGAAATCGCAGGTTTATAATGATCTGTTTGGATAATTTCAAATAGTTATTAATACTTAAATAGCACTATTGGACATGAAATGAGCATGCAAGTAACAGGAACTACATAAACATAAAAGAGTGTTATTTTATGCCCATTAATAATTTAATAACAAAAAAGGACATAAGAAATCAAAATTTGAACTCACAATCATTATTTTCACTATATTATATTATTCAACATAACTCCTGCATGTATAATTCATTAGGCTTTAAACTTCAGCTGCAACTAATAGTCAATATGCTGTTGCTTCTAATTTTAACACACAAATTTTTTTTCCTCTTCATTTTAGGATAGCAAAATGAGGCAATAGAGAGGGGAATATTTGGTAAAAACAAAACAATGTTGCTGTATCTAAAACAAATATCAATAAAAAACTGACATGGCTCCAAAATTAGTATGTGTATCTTACACTCTTCTATGGCTTAACAGATCAAACCTGTGACTGAATATCAGTTCTGCCCTGAGGTTTAGCCATGTCTCTAAGCCCACCTCAGTTCTTCAAATCAAATTAGAAATAGTTTTACAATTGTCTGGAATAGTATCACTTGACTAAATATTCCATGAAGGTAGAAAGAACATGTTTTACCTGAATTCAAAAGAGCAATGCTTGCTGACTGAAAGAATGTATCTAACCTAAGCCACTAAACCTATTTTTTTCCTCTCTAGAAGGAAACCTTATATAAATCTTAATATTAAGGCCATAGCTGGGCCAGCCGAGTGGCACGTTGGTTAAGAGCTGGCTTGGGACGCCGGAGGGCCCCGGTTCGGATCCCACATATGAGGGCCAGTGACACTGCCCTCTACAACTGAACAACAGCTCGACCTGGAGCTGGGCTGC